ATATTAGTAAGTAATTAACAGTACGATTTATTTTATAATTTACACCAAACCGGATATTATATTCGGTTTTAGGAGATTAGTATAAATTATATTTAATTCTACCAAATATTACAATATTACACTCAAAAACTTTATAAGATATTTGAAATCGATTATCAAATAAAAATTATATTTTAAACCTAAAGGAATTTTATTAGATACTTATAAAGAATATAATCTCCTATAATACATTATCAAAATATACACTAGTATAAATTACACAAATAATAAAACTAATAGAAAAAACATTTTTAATAGAATAATAATGTTTTATAATAAATTAATCTTATAAGCAAATAAGAAGCAAACATTTGTAATTATATTTAATATAAAAGCTAAATACATTTTTATAGTGATATTTATCAAATAAGGGTAATAAATAATTTAACTCTTGAAAGATTTAAAATAATTATAATATATCAAAAGCAATAATAAAGTTCAAATACTTGAAGATAATTAAGGAGCTTTAACATTAACTAAAAATCTATATTTATATAAATAATTAAAGTATATTAACATATATCATCATTTTATTCAAGATTTTATAAAAAAATATTTAGTTAATACTAACTATATCAATACAAATAATATAATTACAAATGAATTAACGAAACCATATATAAAAATAATATTTAAGAGATTCAAGAATATACTAGAATTTCAAAGCTAATTATTGAAATTGAAAGAATAAACTTTTTGAAGGAATATTAAAAGTTATAGTATATACTTTAAACTATTATATATATATCACTTTCATTTTATAATTAGATTTCATTTGAGTATAATTAATTTATATAATTAATAATACATACATTCCATTGGCCTGTTCTTTCATATTAAACAATATTTATAATATTAAATAATCTTTTTTTAAAATTCATTATTTAAATTGAAATTAGAATTATTAATAAATACTTTAATATTTAAAGATTTAATCTAGAGTTCAAAATTAACTACAATAATTTTATATTTAAAAATAAAATAATTATTCGTGATTTGATTCTATTATTTAATAATAAAGAAATAAAAGAAGCTTTTAAATTAATAATTATAATATATTTATTATTTAAACTTTATAAAAAGTTTTTATTAAAAGAATAATATAAATAAGATTAATATTAATTTAATATTCTAAAAGATAATATAAAATTGAATTATATTCAAGAATATAATAAAAGATTATTATATATTTATTTTAAAACAAAAAAGAAGTTTATTTTATAATATAATATTTATTTTAAAATTATAAAATATATTTATATTAATATTTTATATTTATTTTAAAAATATATTATTTAATATACTTTGAATTAGTAGTAGTAGTAGTAAATTCATAATCGATTCGGTCTATCTAGCTATGCTATTTTGACCATGCGATACGCCTGTATATGGTTCTAATTGAATAAGATAGATGGGAAAAAGAAATAAAAACCTACCCCCCCCCCCCCCCGAACTTCCCTATTGAGACCCACGGGCAACCCCCCGAGCAATCCTTTCAAGTCCTTCTACTTTGAATTATAAATTCTAAAAACATTTATAAATATATAAATTTATTTTAATTTATTTATAGAAAATATTAAATTTGTAAATCAAATAATATTTAATTGATTAATAAATCAGTTTTTATTAAAATCAAAATTTATATAGATACTAATCTATATTTCTAATTTATACATATATTAAAATATATTCTTTGATATATATATAGTATAAAAAAAAGATAAAGTTCTTATTATACTATATAAAAGCTATTTATATATATCTAAATATTCTAATACATTAATATTAATATATTATTTCTAATTTATTATATAAATATATATAAATATTTAAAATCAATTATATATTAATATTTAATATAATATTTCCAAAATAATATAATATTAAGATTTTTTAAAGCAAATGAAGAAATAGATTTCTTTTTATAATTAAAGCTTATTTTATTTTATTTTTTATAAAGTTATTAAAAATAAAAAATAAATTAAAAATTATTAGAAATTTAGAAAGAATATTAGAAATGAATATATTAAGAAAATATATTAAGAATTAATAATAAAAGCTTTTTCAAACACTTATTATTATATCAATAAAAAATATATTTCCTTATTTCTTATTTTATTTTAAAAAAATAATTGAAAAACTTTCTTGATTTATTATAACGTAACGTATGGGGAACTCGGACACTTTTTCAATTATTCTACACGCGATCTTGTTCTACGAGCCACACAATCCTCCAATTCCAATTCCGAATCACTTGAACTATTCTCTAGCTCTTCTTCTTCAATCTCTTCTTCTGATTCTTCAATTGGGCGTTTGCGTGGCCGTCCTCGTGGCTTTTTCTCCTTCGGTTTTTCCTCCGCCTCACGTACCATTTTCAATACTTCCTTAGTACTAAAGACAAATTGACCTTGTAATTTGACTCTTTTGCCTTTAGTTCTTTTCTTTCGAGTCTCAATTACCTCCTGAGCATCAGAGAGCTGTTTCCGAAGTAGGGCTATCTCAGCATTTTGAGATTCTACAAGCCTAGTCATTCTCTTGGCATATCGACGAGTTGGCGATGCAGGAGAACCACTGCTTGCTAGAGCTGTATTAAAGATCTGATTTGCTTGCCTTAGTTCTGTTCCATCTGGAGGAGAACTCCTGAGTATAGACAAGTCTAGGTCTTGATTGGGGGTTCTCATTTGTGGAGTAGAAGGTTGCTGGGAGGAGTTAAATGGTAATGAATCGAGTACTTTTCGTGGGGCAAAAGGTACTAAACCAGCTCCTCTCCAGCCAGCTTTAATATTAGAAGAATTCAATGCTTTTTTTCTAATATTTTGAAAGAGTTCTACCCATTCAGCTCTTTGGATTCGCTTTACACCAGCTCGAGAATATCGATCGACCTCTAAAGCATGATATCGTTTCATTGGCCCATACACCGCAATATCAAGTGGCTGAAGCAAGTGAGAGCAATGAGGAGGTAATATAAGTAAATCAATATCATTATCTATACAGAAAGCAATAAAGCTACCTGTAATATGGCTTGAATGGCCATCCATGATCAAAAGTCGAGGTCGGTCACCTGACACTTTCTTGGATTCTGGTTCGAAAACCCTTTTTAACCATTCTAATCCATGGCTATTTGAGGTCCATCCATTTGTACTAGTAGAGAACTGCCAGCTTTGAGGTGTGTCCTTTGGAATCCATGCAGAATTCGTATTCTGAGCCTTGAAAATGACCATAGGTGATAGAGCATTTCCAGCTGTATTGACACATTCAAATGCAGTTATCCATTCTTGCTTGCCAGCTGTAACTTTCCAATTCGATTTCTGAGTAGAATCGACTATAATGCGCGTACTTTGAGTACTTCCAACTCCAAATCCGGTTTCATCCATATTATACATATCATCTAATTCATACTTTCGCTCAATAAGACGCGTGCGAAACGCGTCAAACCAAGCCTGAATATTCTCCGGAGTTGCTTCTTTAGCCCGATTAGACTCTAATTGACGTGAATAGCATGTTTTAAGTTCTGGATGTCGTTTTTGGAATCTATAGATCCATTCGTGGCCTATAGGTGGAATTTCTGTCGAGGTAGGATTTCGAGATGACGCGACCCGAACGCGTCGAAGACGAATTTCGTCGGCCATTTCCTTCACCAACATAGGTGTAGCAGGGAATCCAGTGATGGTAAGTCGTGAAATCCATCGTACAAGAGTATTTTCTTCTGCGTTTGAAAGAATTTGAGCCATTTCGTGGGTTTGGGAACGTGTTTTCTTCCCAGCCAGCCTATCAGCTAGGGTAGACTTAGGGACTTCAAAATGCTCTGCAGCCTTTCTAATTGATTTAAATTCTTTCAATTGAAGTGAAATTATAGCCTTTTGAAGCTTCTCTTCAATTTGAGCAGATGTAGAAGGTGATTGGGTATGCATAATAAAAGTTATTGCGGTTTCAAGTTGGTGATGGGCTAAAAGTGTCCGAGTTCCCCATATGTCCGAGTTCCCCATACGTTACGTTATCTAATCTAATTTTTTTTTTAAAAATTCTATATAATTAATTACTAATAATATTTAACTTTATTTTGAAAAATTATTAAAGAATACATAATTTTATAAAAATAAATATTAAAATTAAGTTATAATTCTTATTATTATATTATTAAGCTTTTTATATTATATTAATATTAAATCTTATATTAAATCTTTTTTTCAAAAAACTTTAGATAATTTATATACATAAAATAATATTTTAGTTAATAAAATATTGATAAATATTATACATAAAGATTGATATATTCATTTTTATTAACTTTTAATAATTCAAAGAATATAGACTTTAATAAATTATATAAATATTTTAAATTTAATATATTAAAGATTAATAAAAAGAAAAAAGAAATATTAATTATAATAAAACTAAATATTATTTTATTATATATTGGTTATATAATTTAATATTATTAATGTTCTTTAAATTAAATAAAAGATTTTTGATTAAAAAGTAAATTAATTCAATTATTTGTTTATATTAAATATATTTATTTATTATAAGATTAAATAACTATATATACAAGCTTGATATAATCGATAAAAAGTAAGCTTTATTATTCAAATAACTATTATAATTTAATAATATTATTATAGCTATTATATTATTCGAAAAATTGAAGATATATTATATATAGTTTTTATAATGATATGCGATGAGATCGCGTTCTGTATGGTACAAATATTTTTTCCAAGTTTTCTATGGCCACACCATACAAATTTTAGAATTTTTTTTTGCTTCAGGCAGAAATCTATTTTTGGGGTTTTGGCCATATCGACCAAATCGGCCTCGGTATAGTGGTGCATGATTTTGATGGCCTCACCATATTTGGCATCACCGAGTATGATCGTGATATCTACGCCGTAAATGGTGGCGGCTCCTCTCCCAGTGCAGGTCCAGTCGCTGGCACTTATCGTGTCGATTCTTCAAATTTAATGCAGACCACGGCAATATCGTCCACCATTGCAAAAATATCTTCAGCTCAATTTCTCAATGGTATGATTTCCATGCCTCAGTGGAGCGTTGATCCGTCTAATGTGCTCGTCAAAGATGACGCCGCTGGCGTAGTCTACAATCTAGACCCCATCTCCGGAAAATATTTCATTGCCATCAACAACACCTACACACAGGCACATTAACACACCAATCTTGGGCTGTAGCCGTTAACGGCATCAAAATTGGAGACGGAATGGCTTACCTCACCAATACAGGTCTTAGCATACTTATACGTTTTCCCATCCACGAAAACGGCACAGAAGTTACAGGTAGAGCAGTTGAAATCCTGTCCCACGAGGCGAACTCTACTTGGTTCTACGATGATTTTGCACTCCGCTACACCGTTGCTTATGTTATGACCGGCTCTGGAAATTCTATCGAGCGCGTGGTTGTGCCAGCGGTGGATTCACCGGGTCCGATTACTACCGAGATTGTGGCCGGTAGTCTCAATTCTACGAGTGTAGCAGGACCGACAGCTGCGGCTTTCGGATGCACGCCGTGGGATAAGGTTAGTCATATTTTGTATGTTACTACAAGTGGGGCGTCGAATATACCTGTGGACGGAAGGATTAGGATTGACGCACAGGTGCTGGCTATTGATACCAAGTTATGCTCATTGGTTTAGATAATGTAGCATTAGGATCTTGACACAGATGCTCGAAAGTTTATACATCATGAAGGAGAAGGGAATGAGGGAGAAAACGGGGAAAAGGTATAATTTTTGATAATGGACATATAAAAACCTTCATGTCGAAGAATATTTGATCTCAAGTAACGATGATACGGAAGGAAAGGAACTGGATGTCGGCATAATTGTATTGAAGTGGTAGGTTTATGGTATTCTATTATACTGAGTGAAGTTATTTAACTGACTATTTGCTAAGACTATTCTTTGATATCTATATAGTCTTCTATTAGAATGTAGGTCTGAAGAATATTATTCAATCACTTTCTACTACCGTATTAATTAGATTAGAGTGAAATATTCAGTTATTAATTATATTGAATTGAGAGACCCTGTTTGAGTATAATGAAAGTTTTTTAGAGGGGATTATTAGAGAATATGAATAAAAATATAAAAATATAAGAAATATCTTCTTTTATTCTATTTTTTATTTTCTTCTTAAAAGCTTTTGAATTAGAACTCTATGTTTGTATATAAAATTAATAACAAAAGAATTAAAATAGAATTTATAATAAATCTGATTATAAGATATTAGATAACATGGTTTATCAATAAACAGATCATATCAATAAACAAATCATTTTCATTTTAATTTACTTTTTTCTCTTTCAACACTCATTTTATTAATAACCTATAGTAAATTCAAATAATAAAAAAGCTTGTATATTCCTTGCTATTGAAGTTATTCAAAAAAATAAAAAAATAAGTATTCAAAAGGTTACGAAAATATATAATGTTTTGAATATAATCTTATAACAAAGAATAAAAAGTTTTACCCTTTATTTTAAATATCAATCTAAATCTTATAATTTTTTAAAATTAAAAAAGAATATTATTATCAAATATATACTCAATATAAATTCGAAAGGTTTTTTGTTTAAATTTAAAAATATAACAAATTATATTCTTGAATTGAGGAATACAAAGAATATTAGAAAGCTTTAAGTATATCAATTTGTAAAGTATCGAATTGAATTAACAACATATTTTAATTATATTTATAATTTTCAAAAAGCTTTTTACAAAGATCTTAAACTTATTGAAAAGTAATTTCAATTAATTGCGAATATACAAGTGAAATACAGCATTTTGAATAAAGATTTCAATAATTTTGATGAAATAGGTTTTATAATGGAGATTATATATATAGTAATAATTGTTATTAATACTAAAAGATATAATAGAAGTAAATTAGTACAGTTAGGTAATTAAAAATGAATTATAATAATAATATATGAAAATAAAAAGGATGAAATTATTCCCTCATTTTTATTAATTCAAGGACAGGTTCATCTCTTTAATTAATATACCGAAACCAGTCTTCCTATAAAATAGGTTATTAAACCTATATCTAATGGATAAATAAATAATAAAATAGATTTAAAATAATTAAAACACTTCGATAAGTATATTAAGAATTGAAGAAAGGGCAAATATTAAATGTTAATACTAGATAGGTATGAAAGTTAAAAATTAGTAGTTTTTCAAGTATATTATAAAAAAAATTATATATTTAAAGTTATTATTATATTCAAGTTATTTAATTCAGTTATTTGATATTAATTGTTTTAATAATCTGAAATGTTTATATAATACTCAAATTAATGAATTTATTAAGGTATATATTAATTATATTTTGAAGGTTGAATTCTTTATAACTTTTAGAATTATATATTAAAAATCAATTACTTCTTAGGATATGTGGTATAGTTTTAGTATGAAAGAAGGACGAAGTTCTTATTATGCTATGTAGAAGCTATTTATATGTACCTCGGTACTCTGGTGCGCTAGTATTAGCGTATCAATATGAAGTCAAGATTTCGAGGAACAGACTTAATATTATTTAATCTTGAAATTGTATTTTTGAAATTAAATATTCGAATTTATATATCTAATTTTCTTTCTTTCTTTTTCAATCTAAATCAATAGATTTCTTAAATTCCTTATAATTTAATAGAAGTTCTTTTTAATTAATATTAGTTAAATCTCGAATAACTTGTTATCAAGTAAGCTTTCCTATATTTATATTCAAGATTATATTAGTTCTAATTAAAGGTATAAAGAGATTAGCTTATGAAAACATATTTTTGAATATAGAGATTTGTATATTTAGAAAAACAAATAAGATATTAAGTAAACATTAATACACAATTTTTTTTTAATTATATTAAGAAAAAGTATTTACTAAATAAAAAGCTTTTAAAATATTATCTTAATAAAAAATCGATATTCAAATTCAATATAATGAATATCAAAAAGAAAAGAAATTCTAATAGAAAAGTATTTTTTAATAAATATTGTAATAAATATGAAAAGATAAAATATAATATAAGAACTTATTAAAATAATATAATAGATTCTAAATTATTCAATTCTTTATAATTTTAATTAATTAATTCAATTGTTATTAAATAATATAATTTTGAAAATATAAATTGAGGTGAAAGTGATTTATTTATTAATATAATTTGCTCACTAATAAACTACGTTAGTTGATATGATTATATTTAATCTTATTAAAAGACAGACTTTTAACTAAAAAGTAATATTTCTCTAATCAATCAATTCGGTATATAATTAAGAAAGAAAGATAGTAAGTAATAAAATAATAATCATGTAGATTAAACTTTAAATAGGCGTTTCAATTGAGTTAGAAAAAGGGTTGAGAAAAGGAGTACTATGAAAACCTAAGTAGTACAAGGAATTGTCTCCATCTCTATAATTAAGTAGTATAGAAAGCTTCATTAAGTAGTTTAATTACGATCTACAACGAATATCGAAATTGAGAGACATCTGAATATGACTACCGTTTTAACGTGAATATAAGGTTGGTCGATCAAAATCCAATCTGAGACAAGAGGTCTGGGGAAACAACTTCTCAAGATTCATTTATTCCCTCACATTGGGAGATTTGCTACCCGTCATAACTATACTGATTCCCTGTTATCCGAGAATTTATAGACTAGATCACAACTCTATTCTATCCTCATTTTTATTGTACCGATCAATATTCTCATTGAAGAAACTTATTTAGCAAATAATTCTCCACAAGCTCTCATCGAGACCGTATCATCATAAAATGTCCTTTATCTGGTTGATATCAATCCTCTCAGTCCTATATATATTGAAATGTTCCCGATCCATAAAGAAGTACTAAGATATAGTTCTATATGGAGGTGAATTCTACAATTTCAGCCTCACCGCCTTCGATTTACCCTCAATCATATCATTCTGCGTATACAAAACAATTTTGGAACCTTTAAATTCCAAGGGAGTGAGACAAGATTGGTACTATATACCTTCGTACGTGAAGTAGAACTCATGACAAAGATAGATTACAACAATATCATATTTTCTTAATTGAGATATCTCAAATAAACTATGAGACACGGTACATTTGAGCTAAGTGTTAATTCGTCTATTCCCGCCTAGTGTATAGTTGTTGGACGATCACCACCCGTGTCTCAAAATATCAGAAAAGCTTACGCTGAAATTATCTGTGTATGGTTTACACCTAATTATCTTCACCTCAATCAAGAGAATACTAGTGGTGATACTAAATCGAACAAAGTGAGGCTCAATCATGATTACCTTGATGTGTATAAGAAGGTACTCATATTCCCTTTTTTTTTCCCAATCATTAAAGTCATTTATACATACCATCAAGCTTTCTTCACAAACAGTATAACAGTGCAAGCCTACCAACCAGAAATACATCACCACCATGAAGCTCCTCTTTGCAACTACACTATTCTTGGCTTCGGTCATGGCCATGCCTAGTCAACTGGCAGCCGCTCCTGATGCTACTACTGAGATAGGATGTATGTTTGACATAATTTCACCCTTTTCCAGAATTCTAGCTGATACTGTTACAGATGTTGAAGGAGCTAGAAGCGGGCCTCAAAATGACGAGAGCAAGAGAGATCTCGTGAAAGAGAGTAGAGAGGCGGCGAATGAATTCTGTTCAGGAATCTATGGTAAGTCTCAACAACCATCTGGCTTCTTTCACAGCATGTATTTGCATGTTATGACAAACGGGACTAACGGTTGTGGGTTTGAACAGGATATTGCTCCGATACCGTCAAGTGCTGCGATAGCCGTATCTGCACACGTTGCGTAGGGGATACTGCCCCGATAAACATTTGCCATCCTGCTCAATGTGCAGCCTTTCGAGCTTAAATGGCTACATTAGAGCTATAACGATTACTTGAAAATCTTATCTATGTGTTGGGAGTTGTATCTGTTGGCAGAAGATGTTTGATCTGCATGTGATTAGTATACAAGGTGGTAGGCGGCGGTGGGGGAAGCAAGACTGCACTTTCACAATTTCAATCTTCTATAATTCAAGAGACCTGTCTTGCATTGTGGAACTCTATCAATCATGTACTTTGTCATTGTTTAATACAACGTTTTATCATTGCATTCTCCGCTTATATCTTGTAAATTCCGTGAATGTAACCTTGCTTCTTGCGTCACATATCAGAATCCAATAGCCACATTGCCTTACAAATCTCGACTTCAAACAAACAAAACTAGGGGAGTTGGTTGTACATGTCCCATTGCTCAATCGATCATGGACCTATAAATATCAAACGAACATTGACACAGATTAACCCAGCTTAACCCAGCTTAACACAGCTTAAATTCCGGTAAGCCCCATGATTGAAAGATCCAGGACACGGAATCCATTCGTTTTATCCACAGGGAACAATGCCACCGGAATCCACTCTTCATACCGCGAATGCGTGTCCATTCAGCAGCTTGCTATCGCGACGAAACTACTGCATTACTACTCTTCGATGCGACTTGATGTTTGTCTAGATTCTAGAACATACCAGCATACGGGCAAGTGGAATGGAGTGAGTTGTAAAATGAATTCTATTGCACATACAAAGTCAGAACCCTTTTTGTAATGAGAGATGTTGAAATAAGATAATTTCCCTTCAATGATGATCGAGAAACGATTGCTATGCGGTACATGATGGTCCAAAATGACAGAATGCGCGCCCACGTGGAGCACTTGACAACTAACCTTTAATTTCAGTCATCAGTCATACTATCTCTGTGAAATTATCTTATTCCTCAAAAACTACTTAATTAGTGAAAATCCTGACCGGCCACCGTTACCAAAGGAATGCGCGCGAATTTCAGATAAAGGCACCATCTGAAGTCCTGCCATCTTGAACACTGACTCGACTGTCAATGAGCCACAACTAAACCTTTTCGTTTGGTCTAACTTCTTGAGAACCATCACCAGTCCTAATTGACTCCCTACGTTCCACTGTCGGTTCCTCACCCAAAGTATCACCGACACCACCTCTAACATACTCATCGTCATCAAGGTGCCTATACAAAAAGTAGAACCAGATTGCCATTAAAGTTCCCAATACCGCTGGTGCAACATAAGGCCAAATCAAATACGGGTCCACTAAACTGGGAGTACAAGCTTGTGCGATTGCAGCAGAGAGAGCTGTAGCAAACAAGTACATGGAAGTGACAAGACCTTTCATATTTGCAGGAGCTCTTGAATAGGCAAGTTCAAGGGCAGTGACATTGCAGAAACATTCCGATATACCTCCAATCATCCATTGAGGAAGTTGCCACCAGATACTAAGTGGAGCAACGCCAGTTCCTATTTCGCAACCAGTGGCATAATATCCACATGGAGACGTTTCATAGATTCTCCATTGAGTGATTGCGCCAATGGCTGATGAAATCGCGGCAATAATAAAACCAAATGTAATTCTCTTAATAGGACCGAAATGAATCTTATGGCGACGGAGAAGTGGATAAACTCCGTAAGAAAGAATGGGGATGGTAACGATAACAGTAAGAGCGTTAAAGTTGTTGAGAATGTCATTAGGTGCATCGTTGGTTACTATTGCTGAGCCCTGGGATGTCGTGATGTTTCCTATACCTCCATCATTCAAGATGTAGATTGGGAAGAACAAGAAAATAGTGCAGGCTTCCAAAGATCGTTTGACATCCTCAACAAAATTGTCATCCCAGTCTACTGGTTTACCATTATGTTCACCAGTGATACCTTCTGCGGCGAGAACGGAAGGTTTTGCAGCATCGAGATAATACTTGCGCCCAAATTTCTTCAGACCATTTCTTCTCAGGGAGGTGCCGATAACTCTGAAATTTTTTCCGAGATCGCTTCCTTGCGGTGGATATTTGACTAGTCGTTTGTTTATTGCCCATAGCAATATCGGCAGTAAGAGGTAAAGAACCATCGGTAGTCCATAAGCCAGCCAGAACCCAACTCTCTTTTCAGAATATGTTGTAGCAAGACCAAAAAATGCGCCAACATTGACCATACCATAGAATGCAAGAGCGAGTCTCTGAGCAGTAACTTCAGGGTCAAGAATAACGCGTTCCCCATCGGGTAGAGTCTTAACTACGAGTCCCTTTTGTGTGTCCTGGTCGAGAAGCATGGGAGAAACGTTACTCTTGAATAGACCTGAGGTTTCAATCAGCATTGTACTTTGAGATGCATCTCATAAGACATACCAGCTCCTAAAGCCAAGATCAAAATTCCAATAACAAATGGTGCCATGCCATGACCAGCTTATAATACACTAGGTAGAGCGCCAAGAACCAAAACAAGATGCGCAACTCCGAAGACAAAAACTCCGATACAGATAGTTTTGAAACGTCCTAATTTTGTATCTGCGAGCCATCCTCTGTAGATCTAAGTAAGCAAGAGATAATCAAAGACGAAGAAGTGCTGAACGAACCCAAAGACAGGTACTGTATATGCTAAGAATTTGAACAAGAGACCAAGGGCCGATGAAACAGTAAGACCTTTACCCAAAGCGCCTGGTGTGAGCTGGGTACCTTTGGGGGTTGCGCCAGCTCCATTTCCTCCTTTGCTATTAGTTCCGTCAGCAGTGAACGCGGGATAAGAAAAAAGCATCTTCTCGCGGAGATATAGAGACATACGGAAGTGGGAATTGAACAAAGTTTGAGAAGACGAATTGGCAACCATAATAGCTTGCGCGCTCTGCAAATTCGATGAGACAGATCATATAAGCAGTCCATGGAATTGAACCAGAAATTCTGCGAAGTGTAGTTCTTTCTTCTTCAGTGGGGCGTAATAGTCCATCCTCATCGAGGGAGGGTTCATGATCGAAAGCATGGATTTTACTTGAGATTTTGGCATCGAGGTTATCTGACGCATTTGCCAACAGACCGGTCTGATATACCGGAGCACTGGTGAGTGCATCAGTATTAGTAGCCATGGAAGCTAATAGATTTTGGGTTACTATCTGGCGCCTGATAAATTTATTTGATGAAATAAGGAATAAATACTCATGTATTATGTCTTAGGTAAAGAGTTTCGCAGTGCACTTTGAGCCGGGTGTCAAAACGCGGTTGATGAAAGCCAACATGCAGTGCGGTCAAAGTAAAGTACCATCAGTAAGTAACTATTGAATTCATGCAGCCGAGGGTAGAGTTCGCAGTGAAAAAGCTCAAAAGAATCACAAGTATGATAAGAATGGATTAAAATGGGATGATATTGAGGGGAAACAGGAGAATATATGAAGGGTAGCACGACATGGTGTCAAAATTCACTAACCATTTTCATGTCACCCAATGCAACACTTGGCATGATAGACATATATTTCCATTTCTTGGTATTTGAAGTCGTATTCACATGCAGCATCCGAAAAGGTTACATTTCCTGCTTGTTGGGTCCCGATGATAGCCTACCCATCATGATTTTTGCTTGAGGAGTCTCGACATCCTACTCTTCATAATCCGATATACGACAACCTCAATTCAGAGCCCCAAGAACTTCCTCGGACCTGTACCTGAATTTGGAAAATTGAAAAATCCTCGAGATACATGCCGTGCCTCATGATCACTGGGAGTATCCGCTCTTCTTGATGAGGAAGGTGGTTAAGAGATGAGAGGCGGTTCTCGAAGTTTTTATAGTCTTGGGTCTTTGCGCCGATGTCTTGTTGCAATTCAGAATGATCAAATCAGAATTATTTGTGGTACAATATTTCACACTTGTGATTGGTACAGCACATTGATGGCTGCGTTCCAAGGCTCCCAAGTCCTGCCAAGGGCTAGCAGACGAATCACAATCCATCGCCCTATCAATATCGCATTTTATGCTACTAGGAGCTCAGTGATAATACACGTTTGTTAACGTCGAGATCGTTGCGGCAGATTCTTGGTAGAATTATTGGGCCAAGTGAAGACGGTGCAACTCTCTCGTATCCCCTCAAGATTTTCATGTTAGAGCAACACCGGCCATAAGCAAGCAGTCAATGCCGAAGAAGGCTTTACACTCTTGGTCATTTCGTTTCCGTGACCACAAAGATTGAAACAAACACTCTCATCCAAATTTTGGCGTTGTCATCTTTCTTGCGAGGACCTGGTGGGCCTTCCTTTGAAGAACGATTCCAGAGTTAAGATCAGCTCATCTGTCCACGAACTCACAATTGATACTTTTTGAGATACTAAATGGTGGGCTCGGTAAAGCTTTTCAATGCCATGAAGGAAAAGTATGATTCGTGATATTGCACAATGGCTAGTAATGAAGAGAGGACCACCACTGGAAATTGCAATTGGTAAGACTGTGTGTGATGCAGATGTGAAAATTATTAGTACATTGCGTGTAGAGTCTGTATCACATACCGTACCCTAGCTATTGGTCGTACCAGGTGCTGGTATGTCAGAAATCAATCTATTACGGTGACTTGGTCGCGCTAAGATAGAAATCTCCGTGTCTTTGGCAACGCGACGTGGAATTTTTGACGACTCCTGAATTTATGCCCCTCAAACGTAAACAACAACAAACAATTCATTAATCAACCAACTCACTCGCCATTCCTCCAATTTAAGCACAAATGGCATCCGTAATGATGTCCGATGCGCCAACACTAGACTTTGGAAATTCTTCTAGAGCTGGAACTCCCAAGGCTCGTAGGCATAGAGGTTCTTCAGCATCTGGTAGACCAAGAGGTCCCCCATCTGAGAGCGCTGGTGCTATGAGTGACGATGAAGGTTTCGCAGATGATGCCATTCCACAAAATACTAACCGTCCGAGGAAGAGTGATAGGCCAATACCAAGAGTGGAGGATGCAATTGGGCAATATGTACAACTCACATTTGAGGAATTTCTTGAGTCGTGAGTTCTGCCCTTATGTTAACCATCGCACATCTAATGCTTTTGCAGATATGTTGAAGATCCAATACTATCCGGCGCAACTCCTTCATCTGCGATGACCACCGATAAATACTATATTGCGCAGATTCATGGGCTAAGAACATATCAATTGTCTACTTTATATGTCGATTACACCCATCTCTCTTCATACAAAGGTGGCGCATTGGCAGAGGGAATAGTTGAAGAATACTACAGGTTCCTACCCTTCCTTACGAAGGCTTTACACAATATGATTGCCAAATACGAACCGAGATATTTCAGAGATCATCGTCAGCCCACTGCATCAAGTAATCAAACTTCATCTGGGGCGAGCAACGCCGCATCTGCAAGTCAATCCGATTTCCAAGGAGACAAGACTACAAACCAACAAACCGATAAACTTTTTGCATTGGCCTTTTATAACTTACCCTTAGTTACTCGAGTACGTCATTTGAGAACTGCAAACATTGGTCAACTTTTATCTATCTCTGGTACCGTTACTAGAACTTCGGAGGTCCGACCTGAACTTTCTCTAGCCACTTTCATATGCGAAAACTGCAAAAATGTTGTACCGAATGTCGAACAAACCTTTAGATATACCGAACCTACACAATGCCCGAACTTAGAGTGTAACAATCGACAAGCATGGAGATTGGATATCAGACAAAGCACATTCGTGGATTGGCAGAAAGTTCGTGTGCAGGAGAATAGTTCTGAAATTCCTACTGGAAGTATGCCAAGAACTATGGATGTTATTCTTCGTGGAGAGATAGTCGATCGTGCGAAGGCTGGAGAGAAATGTATTTTCACGGGAGCTCTTATCGTGGTTCCTGATGTAAGTCAACTTGGTTTACCTGGTGTTCGACCAATGGCAATTAGAGATACACAAAATCGAAGTGGAGATGCAAGCGGTGTCACTGGATTGAAAGCGCTCGGTGTAAGAGATCTTACATACAGACTTGCTTTCTTGTCATGTATGGTTACACCCGATACTTCCACCCAGGGAGCAGCAGCAAGTCAACAACTCAACGGACAGTCCAATAACATTCTCGCATCCCTGAATCAAACGGCTCCCATTGATCCTAACGAGCCTGGAGATCACGCCCAGGAAGCTGTTCTTGCATCCATGACACATGCCGAAATTGAGGATCTCAAAGAAATGGTTCATTCGGACCACATTTACTCACGTCTCGTCAATTCACTCGCACCTATGGTCTACGGACATGAAATTGTTAAGAAAGGTCTTCTCCTTCAACTTATGTCTGGTGTTTCCAAAGTTACCCCGGAAGGAATGCAACTTAGGGGCGATATAAATATTTGTATAGTTGGTGATCCTTCCACTTCGAAATCTCAATTCCTAAAATATATTTGCTCTTTTCTTCCTCGAGCTGTCTACACATCTGGAAAGGCCTCCTCGGCTGCGGGTCTCACAGCTGCTGTAGTCAAAGACGAGGAGACAGGAGAATTCACTATTGAAGCTGGAGCACTGATGTTAGCAGATAATGGTATTTGTGCTATTGATGAGTTCGATAAAATGGATATCAGTGATCAAGTCGCCATTCACGAAGCTATGGAACAGCAGACAATTTCCATTGCCAAAGCAGGTATCCAAGCCACGTTGAATGCTCGAACTTCGATCCTCGCAGCTGCAAATCCAGTAGGAGGAAGATACAACCGAAAGACGACACTGAGAGCTAATATTAATATGAGCGCTCCTATTATGTCACGTTTCGATTTGTTCTTTGTTATTCTAGATGAATGCAATGAAACCGTGGATCGCCATTTAGCAGAACATATTGTAGGGATCCATCAACTTCGTGACGAAGCAGTGCAACCCGAATTTACGACTGAGCAACTACAGCGCTACATCCGTTTTGCCAAAACCTTCAAGCCAGAGTTCACGGATGAAGCTAAAGAATTACTGGTACAAAAATATAAAGAACTGAGGAATGATGATGCTCAAGGAGGCGTTGGTAGAAACAGTTATCGCATTACAGTCAGACAATTAGAGAGTATGATTCGGTTAAGTGAGGCTATTGCAAAGGCGAATTGTGTTGAGGAAATCACTGAGCCAATGGTTGTTGAAGCCTTTAATCTTTTGAGACAGAGTATTATTAGTGTTGAGAAAGATGATGTTGAGGTTGATGACGATGATGAGGAAGTTCCCGCTCCAGCTGCGAATGATGATGCAGATGATGCCATGGATGAAGATACCCAGGATGCCAATGAAAGTGTACCGCCAGCTGAAGGAGATGGAAGACAAAAGACAAAGATTACTTATGACAAATACATTGGAGTGGTCAACCTATTGGTTAGAAGAATCAATGAAGACGAGTTGGGCAACGGTGAAGGAGTGGAGGGAGAGAAGTTGGTAGAGTGGTATCTGGAACAGATCGAAGGTGATCTAGCTGATGAAGAGGCATATCATGAAGAAATGAAATTGTGCAAAAAGATTATCAAGAGGATGCTTAAGGTTTGTTACTACTTTTATTTCTTTTCTACTCCTGTTCGTCGCTTCAGCTCGTCGTACATGGAAGGTTCTGTGGATTTGGGACTAACATTTAATCCAACAGGAAAATATTTTGATGGCAATTCGTGGGCAAGGATTGGTTGATCAGGATAACAAGAATGGGGAAGGCAGTTCGAGGTCAGAGGAACCAGTTGTTTATGTATTACATCCTAATTGTGCGGTGGAAGAATTTTAACTTTCGACTCTGGGTTTAAGGAGCATAGTATGTGATGATGCATATATGAAGGCGTTAGGAAGAATACCTCAAAGTGACGATAGCTTATCAACAAATGAATTGTAACATTCAAACAAGATTACACGCGGTAACAATGTTCCCATTCTTGTATCAATGATTATCCATTCTATTTTCTATTCGTATCCTAGTGCCACGGCATGTTCAATGTTTGCCCTTTTCTAATTCAGCAATACGCTATTCTGTGGTGATTCGATATACACCACGAGACCTATCATGCAACTATCCATTCATCCATAAACTCCCCTTGCAACTTCGACCAATTTATTAGATACTTCTCCAGAAAAAATTGCGACTCCCAACTCCTGGCTAGTCACCCAACTCGCCCGATCCATATTGCCACTCCCAAGAATGGTTATTTCATGGTCAATTATCGTCATTTTGAGATGAAGTTTGACTGGCTTGGTCTCCTTTCCCATGCTTTCAAATCCTCTCGCCAGCGTTCCATCAGTCATCGTATCTCGGTCATGGAAATCACTCACACGAACGAGATCGGGATTGAAATACACAATTTCTAAAGCTCCTATTCTAGAATTACCGGCTTCAATGTCATCGACCCTTCGCGATGAACGAGATACAAGCTTACGATATCGACGTTTCATTTTCCATACCTCCCATTCAGTGATCGTGCCGGCTGTTACCAATTGCTCTAGGATCATCAACTTTTTCGAGACCACAATTCGGACATCAACGCCTTTATCTAATGCTTCGAATATTGAATTTATGACTGGTGTGTATGTAATATTTGGAGTGTAGATTGTAATTGATGTTTTGGCTGTTGAAATTTGTGATAGCAAGAATGTAGTGAGTGGTGTTGAGGGTGTTTTTGCATTTGGTTTAAAAATAACAGAAAATGGATTATATGCAGAGTGGGTATGTGGAAGAAGAAGTGTTTCAGTGTTTTGTGGAAGTTTTGATAGGTCGACGACACTTAACAATGATGAATCTGGATTCCATAGCTCGGCATGTATCGATGGACTTCTGTCTGCTAGCTGAGCCGACGTCCAGGACATTTCGGGAATTGTCATCTGACCATCACCGTTCCAGATCCTGTTCCAATAACTACGCAAATCCTCTACCAGTTCCCCGCGTTCAAATCCAATACATCCTTCTGCCCATGGCTCCCAACTCACATTGCAACTCGGAAACCAAATGCGTCGAGTATCTTGTATGATATACTTCCCATGCAAAACATGACATGGACGGAAAAAAAATCGACTTGACACGGAGATTCAACCCCGGTGTATCCGACTCAGATGGAAGTCCAAGTGAAGGATATTGAGATGATGGGTACAAATATCCGTCGGAGGAAGGGGTGTGAAATATCTTTTGCGATATTGAAAGAGATGAAAAACAAATCCGGATATGGATGATTTTTTGATCTGAAACCGCACGTTCCGATAGTCTCAGGAGGAGTTGACAAATGTCGCGCTGGCTAGAGGAAGAAGCCCAAAAGCAGGTCACGAGAATGAGTTCGTGGTTTGTGGAAATGAGTTGTGGGAGGAGAGAAGACCATATTGAAGTCCCGGTGCCAAGGAGGAAGGCCGTGGGATGTGTTGTGCTATGAACATAGCCAGGGAGCTGGGTTGTCATGTGTCTGAGATGATTGAAAATCAACAGTAGGTAATGGCAAAGGCTTGGAGGTGAGATAAGATTAAGAATTGGATGATGAATTATTGATAAACATGAGTTTAGGAATTCGAATTCGTTTGATTGTTGATGTTCTTATTAGGATACACATACGCATACGAGAGATTGAGGTTATACTCTGTTGACCTTACCTACGGAGTCGTAATTACCTTTTGGCCGGGCCAAGGTCATTCATTTTACTTGGCTTGGCACCCCGAGCTTCACACCACCCAGCACCCATGAATTTCATCCCTCAAATTCTGGACAAGCACAGCAGCCAAACCATCGATTCCAGATCTTCACGAATTTCCATCAATCCAGGTCTGAGTAGATCTTCGTTTGCAAATGAAGGCCCAATGGATTCTCATTTCGATGCGATTTATCGTTGCAATGTTCGCGCTACCTTCTTTGATGTTACCCTCCTTCCTCGTTCATGATAGGAACCGTGAACATTTCTTCAGCACCGCTCTTATTCATTGATTAGATCTTTTTAGCAAACCTCCCATCTTATATCAAGTGATATATGTCACTGGCCTGAGAAGCATAGCGAGTTTCACACCCTCAATAGTAACATAGGTGCCAGCGCCCTTCGTTTTATCTCTGGCGGCCAATATTGATTAAAATGGCGTATTTAAAGTATGCTTTCCATGCTCGCACGCCAAGGGCAACCTTAGAGAATACAAGATGTTTTCGGTCCAGCTATCTTCGGTTGCTTTGTAGTAACGATGTTGGAAGTTTTACTGCCTACAGTATTTAATAAAGACTGTGCTGTGTCAAACAAATGGCTTCTGGAAATCTAATCTGGCTTAAAATGAAAGATACAGACCTGGGAAGTTTTCTAGTCTTGTACACAAGAATCCCATTGTCATTGTTTTCTAGCATTCTTCTTTTTCTTAAATTTTTAGATGGAAAATAACTTTCCTTGAATTTGATTGACTTATTGATGAGATATCACCACTATACTATCGCTCTACGATTGATTTCAAATAATATTTCAATGTTGTATAGTAATGAAAGTCTTCTATAATACATTTGATATGAAAACTCTTATTAATCTCGTCAAAACCCCAATGTACTCAATTCAAATAGAAGATCGCACCAGCAGCATTGCAACCAGAAAAGAACTAAAGTATTGTTTACGTGAAATCATACAAGAAACCAACCCTTCCAGATTCTCACTGCTATTCCCTATCTTTGATTGAATACAACATATAGAATCTCTTCGTATTGTTCAATATGGATTGATCGCATTAGTTATTGGATTCAAATATAGACTTATGATATAGAGCAAAGTCCCATCTATCTTTAGCGTCATCCCGGGCAAGTATACTTTGTCTCCACAGGTGTTCAGATTGACTCAACCTTTCCTCTGCTTCACCTTCCCCCTCCCTACGAGTGCGAAGATTATATGTGCCCACAAAGGAAAGAATGTTGTAGTAAACACTTTCCAATGCCAGTCCTAATGTGTGCTTTCTTTTCTGAGTGTAATATAGATTTCGCGCGCCTATCCACTCTCTTTGTCGATATAACCTATGATTGAGCTCCTGGGTGGAATCGGAAGGTAGCTTGTTGTATTCCTCAATGCTTTTTATATGATCGAACTCGTGATCCATTACCTCCAACCTTTTCATGTAGAGCATTTGTGTTAAGCGCGTATATGATTCCCTTATCGGTTCCTTTCCCTTGCCTACTCCAGCAGCCATGCGATTGTTACGTACGACCCACTCAAGCTCAGTTATATTCGACGCAGCTTCTTGCATGTTGTACTCACTGCTTTCCACTTCGAGTCTGGCATTCGAAAGCTTTTGTTGATCACGCAACACCCTCTCGTACAACCTTGCAGTATCTTCATGAGTTCGATTGAAAGCCGCCTCTAATCTACGTATTTCCCTGTCTGTAGGAGGTGGCTGCGCAAGAAGCTCTTCCTGCACTCGAGGGCGTTGAAAGGGAGCGAACACTTCTAGCCATTCCGGCCATGGACCTTCATTTTTCACTGATATATCAGGCAATGGACCACGGCATTCATCTCTATAGATGGCGCATCCCTTGAACTCGACCATCAGTGTAAGGTAATCTTTGTGGTACGTGTGGTTATACTTTAACTTTAGACACGGCCCGCTGTTCAGGGATTCCAGGCATATCATACATCTATCAACTGGAGGGTTGACGCAAACTTCTGCAATGATCGGGGCGTGGGCACCCATCGCTTGTCTCCATTTTCCTTCCTCTCTTCTTTCCTTGCAATGAGCCTCTACAAAGTTAAATCCAAGATCTCGAAGTATAGCCTGCCGTAATTGCAATATTATAATTTTATGCTCTCGGGGTATTTTCTGTGCTCGACCAGCTCTTACAGTGAGCCAAAGGTGAGGTAGAAGTAGTTGAAAGACGAGGAGCCAAAGACGATTAAAAACATCGAGGTTGAGTCGCTCGTTGGAGCAAAAAATATCAAGATTGTCTCTGACATCTGGCTCAAAGTTCATATTTACAAAGGTACGCACTCGATTCAACACAGCATTAGCTTTCTCCGGGAAGTTGGATTCTTCGAAATGAAGTCGATCAAACTCATATTCTGTGCCGAATCTTTGAATCGCAGCTTGATTAGGAAGGGTTGTCGTGGGATCTTCCACCATGTAACATTCGGGGCAGAAGTCGGCGAGAGGGAACCCTTTAGTGAGTATTCTTTCGCAAGTTCCAAGAGGCGTGCATGGTTGTATAATCCAGGAGTATGGCGTCTGATCACACAAAGTGTAATGGCACATCGTTCGTAAGCACATGTTGAAATAAAGGATAGAATTCCGCAAATGTTTGAGATGGAAGTCGATTTTCAACTCTCAACGGGTCATATCAAATCAAAAAGAAACGGAGGTGAGGTCTGAAACAGTCACTGGGAACGTTGCTATGACAGGAAATCTCACTCCTTTGTCTTGCAATTTTAGGAGTACCATCAGTCAATCGTTGGCCGAAATAAAGGAATTCGAGTTTAGGAAAGAGATATTCGCAGTCTCTCTTTGTTTTGCTCAATAGTTAAGAACAAAAAGAGTGAGAATTTCACTGAAACACTCTTTCATTGAATCCCGCTATATACTGAAGCTAGAATACAAAGTTGATAACTAATATCAAGCAGCATCGATAGAATGGATATTTTTAACTTAATACAAAGAATTTGACTGGAAATTATTGATCTGAATGCTAATCACTAACCAGAAAAGAACTAAAGGGTTTAGTTCGAATTGCGGTCTAAGCAAACCATCGGATACTAATACTCATATAGTTCCTCTCAGCCAAACCATCTTAGTGTTCCCAATGGTCCCGACTACAGTCTAATTCAAATTTCTACCTTTGAGATTCCGACAACACGATTCTTAATCTCGTAAATCATTCCAATGCTTAATGAATTCGGGGATCCTGAGGGTTTCAAATGGTGAACTGTAATCTGAATTATTAGATACCTTGGGTTATCTTGCTATGAGATTTCTGATGATACTTTTATAATCATCCACACCTTTGGTAAGCCCATCAGCAGTTATACATTCATGATCCGAATGTGCCGAAATTACAGATCCGGGCCCGATTAAATAACACTTATGACTTCCTTTGAGATTTGGAACATCAGTCCCTCCTCGCTTACATCCGTCTCGAAACCTGAAATTGAGTATCTTATTACCGCCCACGTCTTAGGAAGTTTTTGCAATAATACATACCATCTATATCAACGTCACAGTTCACAGGACCGAAATGACGACCACATTCCACTTCCACACTTCCCTCATCACTGCCAATCTTGTCAAGACGGAAGCTGATGCTGCTGCCGGAATGACGTTCAATGCCACACCGCCTTGTATCATCCCAATGCTTGTGGTCGTTTCACCCAACTTACCACTTCCAGGTAGTCTTATTCCATCAATCTCCGCTAGTGACTTTATCAGAATACTAATTGCGTTTATTCCCAATTCTGGACAGGAGCTATGGGCGTCCTTCCCATGAGCAATTATCTCAAACGCTAGCGCAACCTTGTATCCAAGGACCAATTTGTGTTCCGATGGTTCCCCGAAAATGACACTCTCCCATGTAATGCCATCTTGCTGGAATACTTCACTGGCTCTTTTCATACCAGCACCGTCTGTTTCCTCTCCGACTACAAAGAGTAATCCGATATCACCCTCATGAATTGAATACTCAGCTATCAATTCTTCAACAGCCAAAATTTGAGAAGTCATACATCCTTTGGCGTCGGTACTTCCTCGACCACAAATCATATTCTCTTCTCCATCTGATGAACGTGAATGTGGAATATATGGTCCAACTGTATCCATAAGACTTGTGATTGAAGTCTAGTATTTCGTGTGGTCCCTTTATATGCGAAGATATTGAGTCGTGGTTTGTCATATTTGTTCTGGACATTGGATGCTGACTGAATGGGAGAGACGTGTCGTGTTTCAACCGTAAAATTGCGGGATGAAAGATGAGTATATAAATATTGACCAATATCATACTCATTGCCAGTAATGGATTCGATGGAAATGAGATCTTTGTGAAGCCTGATGAGGTTTGATTCAGCGTCGGTGAGTCGGGAATGTTCCTCTGCGTTTGGATTCATGGGCATTTGGGAAGAACTAGATGAAGAGCTCTTCACAAATGAAATGGGATGTAAACTTCTCATAAGGAAAGGAATTCAAGAACTAATCATCATGACTATTGATTTGTTGATGGTACAATACTTCTCTAAGTTCTAATTTAAGAACGTTATCGTCAAATTCCTTTTCATGTTACCGCAATTATTCAACAATTAACCTATCAACCAACAGCTTTGGATTGAAAGTTAAGATTCTCGATGCTCTAACAACTCTCTCGTCACGTTACTGCCTCGATAACAACTATGGCGGCATCTTCATTTTCTACGGTCATACAACTTGCTCTAAGTCAACAAGATGTGTGGTTATGCTTCAAACTTCGACTTCATTTCTAGGAGTTCATGAGGACTTCCATAGCTTTTGCAGAAGCCCTTTCCCAGCTATAGTAATCACGCGTCTCTCACACCAAATATATCTCCCCATCGACAAACCCATTTCCATCATGGCAGATCACGGTTAATACCAATCCCCGAAAATTTCTTTTCTGCGCTCAGAATTCTTCCGGAGAGATTCCCATCTTCCTCTCCATGTTGTTGAAAACTTGCTTTGCAGCTCTTAAAGTTGAAATATTTGCTCGGTATCGGTAGGCAGAGATAACCTCATCGCTCAATCCATAAGGGTTGTTCTTTCGCAAATAATCGTCAAACGTCTGTACTGTATTTCTAACAATAAGGTGTCGTCGTTCCTGGGTGCTTTGGCCTCGCAAAAGATTTTTGCCGATAGCGATCGTCATAGCATGTCCAACATTTTCTGCTGCTTGGGACACACCCTCGAAGCAGCTTTCGACTTGCTTCGCGGTTTGCATCTCCTCCATAGTTGGCTTGTTGAGAACCTCAGATCCACTTTCGTTGGCCATAACCCAAGGAGCATATTTCAAAGTCTCACCATATAGGCTGAGGACCTTGTTGTTTTTACAAGCATTACACATACATGTAAATCCATATTTAGATGATAAGATCTTTCGGCGAGCGAGGGTAGTGCCAAAAGCTTCCTGGTAGAATGTAGTCAATTCCTCACCTCGCTTGATGTGCCGTACAGCACTAAAGACCAAATCTCCATTCTTGGTATTTCCTCGAGCCATGTTAGGGAGACACTCGTGATTAATGCGTGATGCAAAGTGGTAAATGTAATTTGTGCGTTCCGGTTTGTCGCCGACAATATCGAAGCTATTGGTATCGTAAATCTTCATGAGTGTTGTTTCTCGGCATGGGTTCTCGTTGCAGCTACAATGACTATGAAGAGACCTAAAAACATTCTTCTTCTCCTCATTGAGTGACATAAAAAAGGCCTCTTTCAGGAGCCAGTTCAAACCACATTTCATCAAAGGCGCTACCCTCAAAACCTCTGTTTCTGTTTTGATATCTTATGCGGCGAAAACTCCAAGACCTTTTTTCCGGGGCTTGCCTTGATTTCGAACATGGCGTTTGAAAAGTACACCGAATTAATGTCAGAATTTACTGTGTGAGTAGAAAAACAATTGTCATTTATTACCTTCGGTCTTCTCTTGTGCCAAAGCGGAGCTTCTAACAACACAATTAATGCTACTGTTGCCGTCCAAGCAATCACTTGCAAGAGAGTTCGAGGTCTTTCCACTTTCAACTGATAATGGAATTCTAGTATCTTGACTCGCACTTCCTAACCTTTTTCGTTCATCGAATTATCGTCGGGCTTTCTCTGCCTTGTTCTTCCTAGCATTCAATTTCTTTCGTCGATTGCGTTCAGCTTTACGCTTCTCAATAGATTGATCCGCTGCATCATTGAGTTCCAAAGTTTCTATTTCAGGCAGCTAGAAGTATACCACGATCAATTAATGTTTGCATACGCAAGAAGTAGGAATATTCTTACCATAACACTTTGATCAATCTGGACTTGGGGATCATCCACCCCACCCGGTTTACACCGTCTAATTTGCCTGAAGTCATGATTTCTTGTTGATCTACCATTGAAAGAAGAGACTGTTTGAGTTTATTGTTTAAGATGATGTTGAAGTGTTTAGGTCAATCTTAAAAGAGAATGGATTGTAAAAGAATTGGAAGAGCTTGAGGATCTCGGTTGTACCTCAAGATTAAGATCATGATCAATAGGAGCGGGTCTCATTGGTTATTTTCACTACAGGTTATTTGTAAAGATGAAGTCAAATTCATAGTCGTCACTTTTGATGATCGGAGGCAACACCCATTCTTACACCTTTTGCCATCTCTCAAAGCCATTCAACTATCGGTCGTAGGTCTAGATGCTGTGGAAGAATCCCAGAAGCCTGATCCACACGCGCTTCAATATTGTCCCATGTTTATGAAAGCACGAAGAACAATTACTCTAACCGCTTAGAGAGGCCCATATCACGAGTGATCTGATACGGACTACTACAAGACACCAGATCTAGCAGCCGAATTTGGCTCAGGGTTTGATGCATGTGATCAAGCGAATTGATGTTCGACCGTCAAGCATATCAAACTTGCTCCACATCCAGCACTCTTCACCTCGATAAAATTTCTGAAATCAAGGCTGAGATGGGAGCCTGGGAGTAGCTAAAGCTGAGTTTGTGTAGGAATTCGAACTAAACAGGTGCAAAGGGACGTCCCCTAGTTTTGAGCTTTTGAGACACAAGCTAAATGTATTATATTATAAGAGGTACTAGTGGTATATCGTTAAGTAGGGGAATCAAAGCTTCTGAAGCTTATCGAAAAAAAATTGAGTGTAAGAAAAGCCAATGTGTCACTGAAGAGAACATTTCTCCAAGTCTTATTTACAAACTGAATGTCTAAACTTCTGATGAATCTAATTATTTTCAGACCTGCAAATGAGAATATGTGAATACTTAACTGAAGCTTCTACCGTTTCATTCTTTCTAAATCCCCATGTGGTAACCGGCTCCGCAAGCAGCCGACTAGGATATAATTGGGGATAAGAAATGCCGAAGGATGATGTTCGAACGCTTTCGATGCATGATAACACAGCGGTTCAGGTGTATCTGAGTTTCAAAATAGGAGCGTTATTATATAACGTATCATTTGAATAATGAAACACTTTCTTTTGTCAACCAGACAATGAGAGATCGGCCTACATCAAAAGATTCTTATTTTCCTCCGCAAACTCATCAAAGGTTTTAGGTTTGTGTCATCTAATCTTCTCTACCACATCATTTCGTCTCACTTCCCCGCCATTCGCAGTCATAACTTCCAACGAAGTCAAATAACACGCAAGATTTTCAGGCAACCCCATACTAACATGCATCTGTATTCTTTCCTCGCCTGTTACTTTTACGTGGGCAATTGGTCGTCCGAGAACTTTGCTTAACTTTGCAGCAATCTACAATGGATAAGCCAACGTATTATTAGGCTGAAGAATAGCATAGATACCTCATCATAACTGAGCAGTTCAGGACCAAGAACTCTGTAGTCGTGATCTGGAGGGTTCTTGCTGGTAAGTGCAATCATTGCTACCTTGGCAATATCACTCGCTGATACAAATGGAGCTTGGCCGTCGCTCATTGCGGAAACGAATTTATTCTCTTCTCTGATGCTCTGAACATATGGCCAGATGATGAAATTGTCTTTAAGATTGATTAACAACACTAGATGATAAATCTACGCGATGGATCACGTACCCATGAACCAACTTGCCTTCAAAACCGAGTATTCCACGCCAATATCATCCAAGTGTTGCCAAACACCTCCAGTATCATCTCCACCCTTCTCTGTATCACTACCACTTAATAGGACGAATCGATTAACGCCGTGTTTAACTGCGACGTCAATAAAGGCATTCATGACAGGCACTGGGTCTGGAACTTCCGGAGCAACTAGATACACGGCTTTGATGACTTCATCGTGTGGAAAGGAGTGAGAAAAGATAGCCTGATAAGTTGATGGATCTGTGTAATCAAAGTTGATAGCTTGCATTCCACCAGGAGCATTTAATTTGGCTTTTCGAGAAGCGAGAAGAAAAGGAATGGAGGCGGATTGAAGACAGTGGGCCAATTGAAGAGATGTTTTGCCTGTACCACCGGTGACGAGAATTGCCATGATGAAGATAAGAAGGATTCGCTGTAACTATAACAAGATGGATGTGAGACAAAACGAGTAGGGGAAGTACGACAAAAGATTTTCAACAGAGAAAGGTAGATTAATTTCTAGAAATGGATGTGGTTAACTTGTGACAGTGATACTTCCATCACCTTACATCATCTGAGGGTGACAACTATGGACCATGACGTGTAGAAGTGCTGGTTCTTCCCAAAATGATAAAGATGATTCCGGATTGAGAGGGAGACATATCCTTTGAATCTATTAGTCCGAGACTTTTGAAGATTTTATACTTCAAAGAAGCATCGCTAAAAATTAAGAGTAGTGCGGGGAAATGCGAGGAAATACAAATACATGAACTACCTACTAGGTACAGCTTGGCCTTACAAATAAGGCGACTGTCATGTCATAATGCTGTATGGAAACAAAGCAGTCGCGTCCTCAAATTCTCTACTGATCAATATGAGATAAAACTGCCCAGAATCCAACAGTCCTCAAGTAGTGAACGCTATGCATAGATTGTTGGGTCAGTCACCTGCTCACAGTTTAACTTCAATAGTATGAAGCGGACTTAGACTGACAATACGTCATACCTAGTAGGTAGGTAGTTAGACTTCATTGTCCCCTCTTTCCACGGGCAATGTTGTATTACAATCATGTACTCCGCCTCCAGACTATCTTCAATATCTCAATCCACTGGAACCTCCAAGATATGATACTTAATCTATTTACTAGACGCAACATACCACCCAGGAAAAAATTAAACATGCACAGGGTATTGCACAGTTCACAGGCACAATTTTCAGCATCCGACACAGTAACCTAACAATGCCACCACGTTCCTCCAAATCTACCGATGATGTCCTACCTTCTCCCGGCCAATTTACCCGTCCTCCACCATCTCAATATTACACCTATCGCATTCAACGAGGAGAACAGGGAGTTCTGACGTATGAGCCTTACAAATCCTATCTCCTACCCCTTTGGCGATTCCGGACTGCCTCGATTGCAGAAAAGTCCTCGAATGCATTATACGGAGAATTTCTACAGTTTTATAGGGAAAATGATTTTGTGGGTATGGATATGAGTAGAAAGTTTATACAGATGGGTATGACGCGATCGAAACGTTATGCGAACCATAAAGGGGGACGAAAATACGATATTGGAAAGGATGGGGAGAAAGTGGAAATAGAAAAGAGTCAAGGGCATGAAGGACAGGAAGATAAACTAATTGCTAGTGGCATATTTAAAAAAAATGTGGGAGAGGTGCCGCGGGCACGAAGGATACAAAGCTTTAAAGGAACAGTTTCAAAAGGAGTTGAAGAACTGGATAAGCGTTCATGGAGAGGAAACACGAAATGATGGAGAGGGGTTGGAAGTTAAAGAGCGGGAACAAAGCGAAGAAGCCAAATATATAAAACAAGAGGGCGAAGAGGTAGAGGACCTGAAGGAGTGTAGACAACGAAAGAGGCCATGGAATGAAATAAAAAAGGAGCAAAGGATTAAGAAGGAGGATAGTGTAGAGGAAACGTCGAACAAACCAAGAATGAAGCGGAAACGAATTGATCTTTGATCTGGCGCTACATGTATACCCTTCGGTTTGATTGTGACTCTCATATCATATTGTCATTCGACCTTTGAAGTGTCGAGTAGCATTTCAGTCCTTTCCATTGTACTCTGGCAATGAAAATCCAAACGACTTGATGTTCTGTTTTGCGATCCTCATTTAATAAAAATGTATATGCCTAGCGTGATTGGATCCAACAGAGAGTAACAATCGATGCATCCCTTGCCAACGCCATAGAACTCCCCTGTATCCTATTCACCAAAATATAGAGATTCATTTCTTAAGTCGACTTTTGCTCCTCCTTGCTAATCTCGTCCTCGCAGCCGTGGATCTATGGGCAAGATAAATTAGCATAATCGATTCGATTTATCTCCCAGCCCAATACTATCATTCCTCTCATTGTGCCATTCCACTACCAAGACAGTCGAAAGGGAAATACATACCGCACTCGACCATGCCATCCACTCTTCCATTCCTCTAACAACCATATCACCACTTGCGTCAACCAAACACTCATGCCCCCATACCGTCAAGTCATCAAAAGTGCCTTCTTCATCCGCTATCTTCGTTTCGATCTCCTTTTCAGCCGCTTCATTCTCATCTTCCTCGTCTTCTCTTCTCTCATCCTCCGCAGTAGATTCTCGTGGCATGATTTCTTCGCCCACTCTCAAAACAACTCCCCTCCATCCTTCCGGAACCTTGACCTTCCTACCAATCAATCTCCTACCTCTGAAATATGACACCAATTCTTCTTTTCCCCTTTGATTCTTTGTAATTTTTGGATCCCAATATCTTTTTTCGATCTTAATTGGGGCCGTGTGATTTATGCGACATGGGATGAGATTAGGTGTGTATTTTTTCGAGGATTTTGAGGAAGGTTGATTAGATGGTGGACGAATCGCGAGCATGATGTTTAAGTCCGTTTATCTTTTGCGGTGTATATGCGAGGATAGTCTCTTGCAATTGAAGTGCGCGAAGTCGGTTTGTATGAATTGAATTGGATGTATATTTGCAATGGAGAATTAAAGTTTTTGGTAATGTGTACGAGTATGAACCGTGAGAGACGCGACTTTTGACGCGATTGCGATAACCTTTAAAGTACTTGCGCTTGGATCTTAGACTGCCTCACCTTATTTCAGCTAACATCCTATTACAGACAGTGCGGGTATTCGTCCAAATTGCATCCGGATTCGATTTGTACTGAACGACGCTGGACTTTGTATATGGTATTTGTAAGTCTGTAATACTTCTAAGTATATAAACAAATATATAGGTAGGTACAACGCAAGCATCCTTTCATTCCCTCTCCCTACTAAATTCCATTCATCTCTATGGTTTAAATCATGGTTTAAATCATCCTCTAATAACGAGGCAGGTACATGGGGACAAAGTCCATGTTACGCTCCATCCTTTTTCACATGCAGGATGATGCTCCCATTACAAACCCTCTACACCCTCTACACCTTCTACACCTTCTACACCTTCTACTAAATTGTTCAAGGTATATCCTCCGTACAGCAATCGCAAACCTTATGTCTTCTTCCCTACCAGACGACAAAGACTTTCCTTCTCTGGCCAAGTGTAGATAGTCCGATCCGTAAAGAGTGGCTCGGGACATTGTCAATCGGAATTGACCCCTGTCATATTATATAATCACCCACATTTTCTCTCAAATGCCATGGTTCCATTTCCCATGCTTCACACAGTCACACGCAGTCACACAGTCACACTCTTCCACTCTTCTACTCTCTGACACACGATTCGGACTTTCATTTGCAAGAGTGGAACAGATGTATTCCCATCGTTCACGCCGGGAATGTGCGGACTCCGAAGGTACCGTTCGATAAGTTTCATTGGGAGATATCCCTTGATAATAGAGAACAATCGATATGAGATACGGGCAAAGGATCAATTGATGATGTCACGACTTTGATAGCACAATCAGATGGGTAGTAACGATGTAGATACACCACTCACATCAATTTACTACCGGTACCTCTCTTTTCTTTTCACACTAGCCACCTTTCGCTTTGTCTCCCTGAGCTGAGAGCTGAGCCTTATACGAACACGTCATGTCTTACACGAAGGATACAAGTTCATAGCTTAGGGTTCATACATACTTAGGGTTAGCTACTTCCCAGGTAGGTACTATGGTACTTGGAATTACCAATGAGTATAGTATGTGCAAAGACAAAGGAAAAGGTCTAAACTCCTACTTGGATACCAACCTCGGCAGAACTATCTATCGATCACTTGGAAATCGTTATATGTACCCAGTATCTACCCAAGTGACTACCTAGATCGTGTATATAAGGGTATATACATACTAAGCATATACATCCTGTATGCTTTAAGAAGGGAAGTATTTAGTATCTCAAATATATGCGAGCCCGACGCGGTATTTATATTTACATTTTGACTAATCAACCGGTTGTCATTCCAACTTTCCTGTAGAGGTTGGTTTTTTTTTTCTAAAAAAGCTTGATCAATTGATGTCTGTGTTCCAGGTCCAAGCACATCCTAATATCGATACATTCCACACAGATCGCCCGACAAGATACACTAATAGCGGGGCTCCCCATCTGCATGAACTATTTTCACCCCTCCCTAAACCATATTCTTACTAGCCCTGGTTTCCTTCCCATGTACTCAAGCATTGAATGTTTGGCCGTCTTCGGGAAACATCGTCATCCGGGTCTTTCCTGCTTCGCTCTCTCTCTCTCTCTCTCTCTCTCTCTCTATATCTCTTTTTTTTGTTTGGATCTAGATTCATAATGTGAGTATCGCCTCTTTCTCGATACCTCTCCCCTCAGCTTTGCATTGTGTTGTCTTATGCTGATACTCTAACAGTGACAGAGATATATACCAATTCCTCTGTTTCCTTTTCATTCCTTTTTCAGAGTAATCCCAATCAAACCAGTGGCTGTGCACAGCTCAAGCTCAAGCTCACGCTCAAGCTCAACATCTGGCGTGGTGATACCTCAGTCTCCACAGCAGAAAAGGTTCCCACCCATGACACTACTCATCTAGTACCTCGACCGAGTAAACAATTTTCTCTCCCTTCCCCTTCCTGTCATTTCAATTGATATCTTCATACCCTCCCCTCTACACGCGCAGGTCGTTGATACAATAATCTCCGAAGGTTTTCATTTGAACGTTCCCAAACAAGCTTCCTGACACCATAATGGCTTCCTACCTCCCCGACGCTGTCACGGCGCCCATAACGAAGGGTGCCGATTATCTCAAGAGTACAATCGGTGGTTTGACTTGGGGCCCAGCTCTTTCTGTCTCAAAAGCTGCTGTCACTTCATTGTTTGGACGAATTGAGCGTGGTACACTGCTCGTCACCGATGCCGAAACTGGAAAAACAACATGTTATGGGGCGAAGATTGCAAAGGAATACAAGGCCAATGGAGTGAATGGCGTGAATGGACATCATAACTCGCGCAAAGCTGGTGCAGCAAGAAAGATAGAATTGAGAGTTGTCAATCAAGCATTTTGGGTGCGCCTATTTCTGTTTGCCGATATGGGGTTCGCGGAGGCGTATATGCTGGGAGAAGTAGAATGTGATGACCTGACTGGATTCTTCGAGGTATTTTAAGCTTCCCCCATTCCACGCGATTTCACAATTTCTTACTAAAAGCCATTTCTAGCTTTTCATCCAAAATCGCAACCAACTGGCCAATGCCACAACTCTAACCTCCTCTATCGCCGCCACTATCACAGGACTCGCCCGGAGTACCAACACTTTGTCAAATTCTCTTCTCAACGTCTCCGCGCATTACGATATCTCTAATGAAATGTTCGCTGCATTCCTTTCCGAAGATATGACATACTCATGCCCGATATGGAAATCCATTTCCAGTGCTTCATCCGAATTTGAAGAGGAAACACTTGAAGAAGCACAGAGAACAAAACTCGATCGATTCATAGACGGGGCAAAAATCAAACCCTCGGATCACGTATTAGAGATTGGTACTGGATGGGGTTCATTTGCCATCCAAGCCGTTAAACGAACAGGATGTCGTGTAACAAGTTTGACTTTATCCGTTGAACAAAAAGCCTTGGCCGAAAAGCGCATTTTTGCAGCCGGCTTTGCAGATAGAATCGAAGTGAAACTCATGGATTATCGAGCATTGCCTGTCCCGAAACAACCTTACGATAAGATAATTTCCATTGAGATGCTTGAAGCTGTTGGGGCAGAATACCTGGAAACGTATTTCTCCTGCATCCATCGATTCTTGAAACCAGATGGAATTGCCGTGTTCCAATGCATTACCATGCCGGAGGGTCGATATGAGGCATATGCAAAGGGTGAGGATTTTATTCGAAAATATATTTTCCCGGGGGGCCATCTTCCTTCCATTACACAATTAATTGATAACATCACCAAAGGTTCAGAAGGAACTTTGGTTGTTGAGAAGGTGGAGAATATCGGAGGTCATTATGCGAAGACATTGCGATTGTGGAAGGAAAAGTTCTTGGCAAATTTCGAGTCGAGGATTAGACCTGCCTTGATGGCGGAGCACAAGGAGATGGGTGAGAGAGAGGTAGAAGTATTCAGAAAGAAGTGGGAGGTACGTACTTCCACATCCACCAAACAAACAATTCTAACATCGCATGCGCTAACATGCTCCCGCAGTACTACTTCACATATTGCGAAGCAGGTTTTGCAACAAAGACCCTTGGAGATGCAATAATCACAGTGGGTAGAGAAGGAGCATTGGAATTGATGGATGGCATTCCCCTATAATTTCGAGATCTGGCTTTCTATTGAGGTAATTTTCTTGGAGCGCATGGAGTCGGTGGATGGGAGGGTCATGAATTTCTCTTCTCTCTAATTTCCAAAAGTCAGAATTGGCACTGCGTTAGAGTGGTGGTGCGTTAGACCATATAGACTTGACCTTTTTGTCATGGATAACCCATAGTATATTTTATTAGTGCTGGCTTTTTTTATGCTTGCTAATAAAATAGTGCCTAGCTGGAATGTGATTGCCTTATCGATGCTCGTAAAAGTGTCTTTGGATCTTGAAACCACCGCTCGAGTTGATGCGTCTCTTTCTTAACGCCAGCCAAGCTCCCAACTCCATTGAATGCCAATATATACTTGAACAATATTCCTGTCAACTTCTTTACAATAAAGTAGAGTCCCTGCTCTATCACCTACCAAATCGTGGTGGCCCTGAAAATCTTCAACGCTTCCCTTTCTTCTTCTTCTTACTAGGCTTGGACTTCGAGGACACTCCGGAGTGCGGAGAATGATGCTTCGCGTGTTCAATATCAAAAGCCGATTTGTGCTTCCTAAACAAAAGGATGGTTGCCCTTGCATCCTCAATACTAGAATGTTCACCACCTTGTATGTCCACGCCCAGTATCTCCTTTGCCAACTTCTTCAGACTCGGTGTTCTCCCATTACTATATTTTCTGAAGCCCGAAAATTTCGACGTATCACGTATGTCTTTCTTTGGGTGGCTCAGTATCATAGCTTCCAAATCATTCTTTATCGCATGTCCCACCAATATCCTTCCCTTTAATATCTCGGCCACAGCTCTCTGCACCTCCTCGAATTCCCTCGCCGTCGCCATGTTTTTCGTCGAAACGCCAGAAACATGAGTTCTCCAATCCGTAACAAACTCTTTGGGTCGCACAAAAGAATCGTATATCTGCGTGCCATGGAAATTGACAATACTAACTCGAGCCAGTACCGATCTATCTTCGGAACCCCCCACACCTACCATTTCACAATCAATCCCAATGTATTTCCCTATATCGACATCTTCTGAAAGCCCGCCATTGATTTTGTCGGCTCGAGCACCCTGAATGGTAGTGTCTTTTAAACCCCCTCCATAAGCTTCCGCAAGATCTTTCGCCGATATATCATTGTCTTCCGCCCAGAGTGCTAAAGAAGCAGACGGTGCATTCTTTGGAAGTGGTGTATCATCTTCTGTTGAATCTAAAGCTGGTGAACTTCCCATTGCTCCCATCTTTCCTTTCCTCGAAGTTCCCTTTGCGTCTGCAATTGGTCGAGATTTTCCTGCGAGGCCTTCTAATCTTCTACGCTTTGCGATACTATCTTTCGTTCTTTCCGAAGGTTCTGCAGCTTTTCGTTTCTTCGCATCTAATTTTAATTTGGGGGCTTTCTTTAATGCTGCTTGAAGATTCTTCCAATTACTTGATAAAACGGGTGCCATGACTTTTGCTTTGCATATTCCGTTGTTGATGTTGTCAATGTGGTTGCCAAAGAAATAAAAATTGAGGGTTGGGTTTTCACAAAGTAAATAAAATGAAAATAAAATAAATGCACGACGATTAATAATTATTTCGATAAGGCAAGGCTCTGGCTGATTACCCTGATAAAACTACCTACTAGGCTAGGTACCTAGTAAGGTTATCGAAGGCTAAAGAAAATACAAGAACATTATTTTTACAGCCTTGTTCTATCAATTTTGCCCCTCCAAGAAGAAGAACTAATAAACATCTCCATAGTGATAAATCAATCAAAATCGATCAAAATCAATCAAAATCAATCAATATCAATCAAAAATCTATTCACAACCATCAAAATAATTATTGAATTCCATCATGACAGGTCCGTCGCAAGATAAAGATGGTTCTGTAGGAACTCCAGTACCTAAGCAGAAGAGTAAGGCGACAATTGATACTTTGGGGTAAGTTCCAATACAATTTCACGGTCGCAAGATTAATGGTGCCAACTAATGCCTGTAGGGTAGGATGTATAGCAATGGTACAGAAGGTTAGTAACCACATGTATTTGCTTCACCACTTGAACATCAATCACCCTTTTTTTGCCTTTACTTATATTTCTCCATGTTCTTGGAGGCGAAGAACTTATCTATTTGCTCTACCCTAAATCATTATACTAATTCCACATCAGGATGGTGCGCTTAGAAGAGCAGAAATTCTAAGTATAAAAGAGACGAAAAGTGGTCGTCAATTTTATTGTAATTTTGATAATTTCAACAAACGTCTAGATGAATGGGTGCCAGCCATAAGGATAGATTTCACTCAAGATGTTGAATGGCCAGCTCCAGAGAAACCAAAGGAAAAGTCGAAAGCTCCTCCAGCTGGGAAAAAGACAATCGTTGCCAATAAGAAGAATCAAAAACGACCGGCTCAAGCAAGCAAGAGAGAGGATTCTGTAGTCTCAGAATCAGGTTCAAATGCTCCTCCGTGGTCTGAATTTGCGGAGTCTCAAAGACAGACTCCAGATGCTGATGGAGATGCAAAACTTACCATGGCATTAGATCTTGATGCTACGCCTGAAGCTAACGATCCCATGGATGTCGATGAAGCTGCAACCGAAGCAGCAAATGCAAAGAATGAACCTGCTCAACATTTCAGTCCGAAAGAAGAAATCGAAAAATTACGAACCAGTGGCTCAATGACTCAAAACCAAGCCGAAATATCACGCATTCGAAATATTTCTAAAGTGCAATTCGGTAAATTCGAACTTTACCCCTGGTATTTCTCTCCTTACCCGGAAGCATTCACTCAAGAGGATCTGATGTACATTTGTGAATTTTGTTTATCTTATTACGGAGATCTCAAAGCCTTCACCCGTCATCGAGGCAAGTGTACATTACAGCATCCTCCTGGAAATGAAATTTATCGGGATGACTACGTCTCTTTCTTCGAAATCGATGGTCGACGTCAACGAACTTGGTGTCGAAACTTATGTCTCATATCCAAGATGTTTCTGGATCACAAGACTCTTTACTACGATGTGGACCCTTTCTTGTTTTATGTCATGTGTTCACGAGACGAGAAGGGCTTCCATTTAGTGGGATATTTCTCAAAAGAAAAGGAAAGTGCGGATGGTTATAACGTAGCTTGTATTCTAACACTTCCGCAATATCAACGTAAAGGTTATGGTCGACTCCTAATCAATTTCTCCTATGAGCTCTCGAAAATCGAAGGAAAGCTCGGCTCGCCTGAAAAACCCCTATCTGATCTTGGCCTTCTCTCATATCGACAATATTGGACCGAGCGAATTGTTGAAGAGCTTTTGATTCACAATGAAAAAGACGAGAGGATTAGCATAGAAGGTTTATCGCAAAAGCTCAATATGACGAGTGCTGATGTAGAACATACGTTACAGGCGCTGAAAATGCAGGTTTATCATAAGGGAGAACACAAGATGGTTTTGCCGACGGCATTGATTAAGAGACATGAGACGATGAGAGAAAAGCAGAAGCTAAAGCCGAAACGGGTGATTGATCCTTCAAGGATTGTTTGGAAACCGTTCAAGTTGGTGGACAGAACGTGGGGTTGGTAGAATGGGTTAAAGGGGCTGATGGAGATGAAAATTAACGTTAAAAATTTGTGAAGTATAGTTTTTAGTATAAGGTTACTGGAGAATTAATACAAGGGCGTGTTTTTGATAAATGCCGGACTGAAACTTAAGCGAATTTCCTTATCAAAACCATACTTTATTCTATCTTTTAATAAGTATATAATAATTCAAATGTTATTTAACAAGTTGTAAAAATCAATTAATATATAGAGATTTAAATCAAGAATTATTGTAATATAAAAAAGGCTGTATTTTAAATTATAATTATCTATTAACGTAGTTTATTAGTGCGTACATCATATCAATATGTATACCATTTCAAAATACATCAAAATTAGTGTTACGGGAGCTGCCTCTAGGGTCACGTGGAAGTGTCTAGAGATCTCTCGAGGTGGTTTAGACTAGACTTCAAGTAGGAATTCAATAAGGTTGTAACTGGTTGCAATTCTCGTAACTATAGTAATGAAACTAATGATTGTTCTTGAGCACGAAGCTCTACACTGTAATGAAACCCATTCCTTTATATAGACCTTCGTTCTCTGTGCTCAGTCGGATCACAAATGATCCCTCTGATCCGATCAACTGGATCACTAATGATCCCTCTGATCCGGTTACCTAAGCGTCGGGGTCACGTGACGTCTATTGTGGCAGACCATCGTAACACTATCCCCTTCCTAGCTTAGCGCTTGTCCCCAAGCGTTACTTATAGTGTTTACCCCACTTCTTGTAATAATGTAATGACTGATTTCTTTCTTTCATAATGCCTGTTGTTAGGACTCCCAAATCAACTGAAAATCGTGCTTGCTTGTATACCAAATTCAAAGAAAGAGGTTTTATTATGGATGATCCTTGTGCTCGTTGTTCTTCCCGCAAACTTGAATGTCGTGTTTTGTCAGAGTCTCGTCGTTGTGGTGAGTGTGTTAAAGCTGGTCTGAAGTGTGACCTTCTTCCTCCCACTGTCTCGGATTGGGATGCTTTGGAGCGCGAGGAACAACGTCTGGAAACGGAGCGCCGTGCTACTCTTTCTAAATTGATTCGCCTCGACACTCAGCAACGATCCCTTCGTGACCGTGCTGGTGCCATGTTGCGTCGTGGTCTGAAAACCTTGGATGAGCTGGATGCAGCTGAGGAAAAGGATAGGTTGGAAAATGAACGTGTTGAAAAGGAGCGGGAACAAGCATCTGTTTCGACTGCTGATCCTAGCGACGACTCCTTTGCTTTCGATTCTTCTTCTTTGGATCCTTCGATCCTTGCCTCAATGGATTCTCCTTCTTTCTGGGCAAATCCGGGTATTGCTGGTGGAACGCCTCCAACTTCCCAGGGCAGTTGAGGTTTGTTCTTGGTTCCCATGAATTCTCGGTATGTGGATAATCTAACCATTTGATTAAATACTTGATTGTGCCTCTGACGTACTTGCAATCTAGTATTGTTTCGACATCGTATATGGCGTTCGGGTTAACTGGTTCGATTTCCGTAAATGGCGCACTTGGCGCTCCTGGTGGTGCTGGTTCGAGTAAGGATATGTGAAACACTGGGTGAATATTCATCGTGTCTGGTAGTTTCAACCGATAATTAACGGCTCCTATTACCTTATCAATCTTGAATGGTCCTAGTTTTCTGTGATCTAGTTTATTGCTTGGTCTTTTGGTTTCGATGTTTCGTCGTAGCAGATAAACTTTATCCCCCTCTTTAAGCGTAGGTTCCATACTACGTTTCGTATTGTAGTAGGCTGCTGTTCTGGATGATATAAATCTTAGATCAAGAG